TCTTCTGGCTGCAACTTGGTAGTTTGGGGACCTCTGCTAGTTACTCAACTCAGTTGTCTCATCTGCAAAAATGGGGATAATAATATTGTCACAGTCTTAGTACACAGTCTCATATAATAACCACTTAAACAAGTGCTTGCTTAAAAACATTTATCATTAACACTAAAGCCACTAGAGCTGGAAGATCTTGGAAAAGTGTGATCTGACCTTCTTGATTTGATAGCAGTGACCTAGAGGTAGGAGCTCTGAGAAGTCACAGTGTCTTCTCCAGTCAGGACTCTCTCCAGGGAAGAGGCCCAGGTTTCAGCAACTGAGGCAGGGGCAGGAGAGAGAAGGGCACAGAAAATGAACAGACAAATATTTAAAAGACAGCTGTCTTATTTTTGAATGACTTGGAATATGAATAAATTACTGCTTTCTCTAGAAGCAGAGTTCTCACGCTGGAGGCAAAAAGTTTAGCCTCTTATTGTTCTCTGGAAGTTAAAGTCACTTGGGCTAGGAAGATAGATACACAGAAAAGAGTGAAAATCTTCCCTCCATATTAAAATTAAAATCTCTCTGTGGAATCTTGAGAGTCCATTCTCAAGAGTGGGGGAGGATGCTGGGAGGCTGCTGGTGGCGTTTCCATCTCTCTAAGTCATTCTCTTCTCTTTTCCGCCCTTCCCCGAACCGTCCCCAGAGGACAATGGCAGCCAAGAACTCCTCTGTGACAGAGTTCATCCTCGCAGGCTTAACAGACCAGCCGCAACTCCAGACACCCCTCTTCTTCCTGTTTCTAGGTTTCTATGTGGTCACCGTGGTGGGGAACCTGGGCTTGATAACGCTGATTGGGTTGAACTCTCGCCTGCACACCCCCATGTACTTTTTCCTCTTCAACCTCTCCCTAATAGATTTCTGTTACTCCACTACCATCACTCCCAAAATGCTGATGAGTTTTGTCTCAGAGAAGAACATCATCTTGCACTCAGGGTGTATGACTCAGCTCTTTTTCTTCTGCTTCTTTGTTATCGCTGAGTCCTTCGTCCTGTCCGCGATGGCATATGATCGCTATGTTGCCATCTGTAACCCACTGGTGTACACGGTCACCATGTCTCCTAAGGTCTGTTTACTCCTTTTGTTGGGTGTTTATGTGATGGGGTTTTCAGGGGCCATGGCCCACACGGGAAGCCTAGCAAGTCTGACCTTCTGTGCCAACAACCTTGTCAATCATTTCATGTGTGATATCCTTCCCCTCCTTGAGCTCTCCTGCAACAGCACTTACGTGCACGAGCTGGTGGTCTTCATAGTTGTGGCCACTGACATCGGAATGCCCATTGTCACCATCTTCATCTCTTACGCTCTCATCCTCTGCAGCATTCTCCACGTTCCCTCCACTGAGGGCAGGTCCAAAGCTTTCAGTACGTGCAGCTCCCACATAATTGTGGTTTCTTTTTTCTTTGGTTCTGGGGCTTTCATGTATCTCAAGCCACCTTCTGTTTTGCCCCTTGACCAGGGGAAAGTGTCCTCCGTGTTCTATACCATTGTGGTGCCCATGTTGAATCCATTGATCTATAGTTTCAGGAACAAGGATGTCAAAGTTGCCCTGAGGAAAACCTTGGGAAGGAAAATATTTTCTTGAGAAAAGAGTACTATTTGAAGAAGGAGATGCAATGTGTTGTTTGTTAGTGTGTGTGTTTTTAATAAAGGATGCAAGTTCCAATTTTCTCTCTCTTGTACAGAAAGAGAATTATAAGCCTTTATGTTTGGATGAGTCTTTAGTGAAGATCTATTTTCCCTGTCCCTTGACCCCCCTCAACTTAAGATTCCAAGATTATTTTATGCAAGTTTTTCTACAATCATAGATCAGTTAATCTTGAATGAGCTTTATCAACCATTTAATCAAATCTCATTTAATAAATACTGTAGACTTAGAAATATTATATATGTTTTCCAGGCCCACACAACTAACTGGTGCCACAACTAGGGTCGGAATCCAGGCCCTTGAATTCCAATCTACTTGATTTTACTTCATGCCATGTTTTCTTGTTTCATTTTGTTACTGCCTTTGCAGATTTCAATTTGAAAATATGCTATATTTGCATATTAAAGTCTGATTCTATTTATAGTAATTTAATGTAACTTTACAATAAATGATTCTTGAATATAACATCTTTTTTTTCCAAGAGAGTAGGGGACAAAAAAATTTACTGAACTTGATCTTGGCCAAATGAAAAGAGAGTTGTGTTAAGATTGTGGTGTATGGGTGGCAAGAATGTAGGTCCCAGATAGCAGATAAAGCGTGGTAATTCCTGAAGTTATGTGTGGAAGCCAAGGGACCCAGCCTAGTGAATTAGAATTTCTGTAGGTTTAATGGTTATACAGATGCTGAGTGGAAAGTTTCATACGTTATTTCAAGACTAAGGGAGTCAGAATTTAGAATTTTTTTCCTAAGGGTTAGTTTGGGTGTTTTAGCTATGATGGAGAAATCTGTGGTTCAGGATAATCAACTAATGGTCTGTAAGTTCTTAAGAAAGAGTAAATAATTTGGGGGATCTAATTAGTTATAAAGGTAGTACCAAGTTACCGAGAAGAGGCCATTTCCACAGAATTTTAAGGCTCTGCAGATTGCACTGATCTTCATGAGAAGATACAAGCATTTGTGGGAAAGAGAAAATTCACCTTGACTGGTTTATACATCCACAACGTTGAGTAAAAAGGTACAGAATACATCAGAGTGCTTTGATCTCAATGACTTATTAGTAATAAAAGAAGGTTCTTTGGAAACGCATGTTAAGTACTGGGGAGCCACTTTGTCATATGAGCTTCTCTTTGGGAAGGTTCTCTTCTTCAGGGAAAAAGAAAACTTTGGATCAGTATCTAGTTTTGCCACTTAGTGTGACACAGATCAAAGCAGGTGAAGTTACAAAACTGAAAATATTGGGGGAAAATTTTTGCTTTAAGTCAGTATGGAATAAAGAAAAAGAACTGAATTCAGGAGACCTGTGGGACATGTGGGATGTGAGCACTTACTTATCAATAAATATTTTTTGAATTATACTTTTTCATCGATTTCTTCTTGTAGGTAAGTCACTTTAAGTTTTTTCTATTGTTGAAAATTAAAATTGTGTCAAGATCTCCAATGTTTTATTACCGTAAGTAATGCTATAATTATCACTTTGTGTTAAATTTTTTGTCTAGTAGAGATTCTTTTTTTTTAACATTTTTATTGAGTTATAGTC